TTTCGAGTTATTCTCATTGGTAACTTTCCGCCCTCTAAATGTGAATATCTGTTTGTTGGACAATTCAAAGCAGACAAGATTCCTATGTAACGTTCTCCTTTATCTCAATTCGATTTCGAATTATTCTAGGTAATAGTTTTTCACCCTCTAAATACAAATATCAGATGCTATAAAAAAAAATATGCGTCTAGTATTTCTGGTTTCTCTCTAGATGTACGCAATGTTTTATCAAAATTGAATTGGATTGTATGCCATGTTAGTGGGATTACTTTTAATTATAAATGGAAAAGTAAAACAGAGATTGTCGTAGCACTGAAGAAGTATGGTAGACTGATTGTTAAATGAAATTATTTAATTTTTCAGAGTTCGTTTGTTGTACTTTTTTAATTAAATTTATATAGATTATGAATTCAAGGCTAGAGAAGAATGATAGATTTTGAATAGATTTTACTTCTTCAATTCCTATCGAAAATTCGGTACAGGTGTAGTTAAAGAAGAAAGGTAGACTTGGGACAAATTTTTTAATCCCTCCAATTTCTTTTATTACACTTCTGAAACAGATTTTTCTTGGTTCCAAGCATAACAAGAAAGTATAAAATGTTAACCGAAGAAGAATGCTAGATCTTTTAATTATAAATTCAAAAATTAAAATACAATAAAGAGGGAATTTTTTCATTATTTGTCGACAAATGAAGACCAAATAACCGAAAGAGGAAATAAGCAAGGAGTAAGAGTATAGCATCCTAGTGCAAGCCGTACTATTATCTTCAATGAGATTTCCTTTATTCTAACAAAAAAAAAACAGAAAATCTCATGTTTTGATATGTACTTCTACCCTTTTATTCTAATAACCAATCTCCGTCGTGTATATTATTTACAATACGATCTGCACGAAATCTCCAACATTCGACTGGTCGAAAACAAAAAAGAAAGAAAATCTAATCAACTATTTACGTTGCCAATGAGCACGGCCATAAAGGTAGAAATGGGACAACGAGACAAATCGGCCCACTTTGAGAGGCCAGGCGAAATTTATGACGACGAACAGCAGCGGGTGCTCCTGAAGGTAAACAGAGGCGAGAGCGAGGATGGGATTTAGAGAGACGCGGCAGTTGTTCGTCGCGACGGTGAATTTACAACTGTAATTTACACGATCGTCGAATATCCGTTCCGACCTTAACGTCGACGTGAAAGGGACGAGCAGCGGGTCGTAGGTGCTCGGAACAGCCTCGAGCGTGATTGAGAACGCCTTTGAGATGCGATTTAGGAAAAACAACAAAGGGAATTGCGAGAAGACAGACGATAGCTGCAGAGCGCTCGTCCATCCCATTTTCTTTTGCGACACTCCCCTGTCCCTGCTTAGAGGGGACGAGATTTTGACGAGAAGAATTCGACGGTTACTTTTCGATAGAATTTACGCGGGTCGTTTGAAAAGTTCACGGAATTGAATGGGAAAATAGGTCATATCGTTTCTAAATTGAGGCCTTTCGTGGAAAGAGAGAGCACGTATGGCCAAAGTGCCATTTCAGGAAAATCGATTTCAGATTTTTCGTTGTCGTATTACTTAATAAAAAGTAACGCAATTAAAGCTGAAAGAGAAGTAATATATCCTTGATGTATTATTATATTACACATAAGCCTGTGTGCCTTTCTTCCATCAATTATTCTTATCTTTCATGTAACTGGAAAAATTTAAGAGGCGTAGGAAAAGTGTTGTAAAAGAGAAAATTGTGGTCGACAGGGAAACGAACATGTGACACAAGATTTGCACGATGCTTTGACCGTTTTTAATGGGGAAACCCCGGAAATAGCGTGCACGTATGGTTGGCAAACCATGAAAAAGGCGAAGGAAGAGCTTGAGAAGTCCTCGGAATGAAATGGAAAATAGCTTGTGTCATTTTCAAATTATTCTTATTTTTCAATGTAGCTTCGTTAAAAGTTTAAGAAACGCAGGAAGAAGGTTGCGAAAGGGAAAATTGTGGTCGTTAGGGGCGCAAACATTTTTAACCCTTTGCCGTACAATAACGAGTCAGACTCGTGGCACAGATTTTGGTCAAGATCTGATAAGAACAGTCATATTGGTAACAAAAATTCACTTTAATTCCAATTTGCGATTTAATTTGTAAAACTGAAGATTGCCAAATTTAATTAATCTACGATACATCACCTTTTCTTTCTTAATATTGTACTGAAACGGTAAACAGCCGACGCTTAGATGAATAGTCAGGAAAGGAAATCATACGTCAAGGGGTTAATGGAGGAAACGCAGAAATAGCGTGCGCGTACGGTGGGAAGCTATAAAAAGAAGCGAAGGAAGAGTTTTTCGTTGCAGTGAGAGTCGATCAATTTGCAAAAATGATTATTCTGAATATTCGTTTGTGATTTTCCTTGGAATGGAATTTTATATAGAGTTTGAAAAAAGTGGGTCGTTGCTTCTGGATAGGAAATTTGTATTTTATAATTTGATTTATAAGGGACAGACGATTGCTTTTGAACGTGGATCTCAACTGTTCCAATAGGAAAATTTGTATAAACCTTGTGAAGAATTTATTGATTATTTCTAGAGAGTCTTTGTATGTATCCCGGTTGTGGAATTTATGTTATAAGATGATGAAAAGTTGGTAGATTATTTCCAAGTGGATATTATTTGCAATTTTCCTTGTAACAGAATTTACAATTTATTTGTTTAAAATATATGAATATTTAGTTACCTTTGTAGTATATTCTTCCAAACGTTTGTCATTGCAACGTTTGTTTAAACTGTGCAAAGAATTTAGAATATCCCTTGCAACTCTTCTAAATAGAAAATCTGCATAAAACTTCCAAAGAATTTATCAATTACTTCGGATTTTTGCTTGCAGTCTTGCCGAACAAAATTCACGTAAAATATGCTGAACCTTAGTCGACTATTTTCCCTCGCTCTTTGTAATACTCCTCGTCGTAAAATTTACGTAAAACAGTACGAAGAACTCGTCGATTATCTTTGAGTATTGCTTGTAACTCTCCCTTGATTCCAGTATTCGCGTGAAATTCGCGAAAAAAGGGGGTAATAATTTCACCGTTACCTGCTTCCGAACTTCTGTAATCACTAAGTTAATATTGAACTATGCGAGGGAAGGATTTCCCTTTCTCGTTTTTTTTATTTTCTCCTTCGAGAAATAGTGCAAAAATTCTGCACTCTCGAGGATCGAGTATCCCGGTGCTCTCGTCGACGAGTATTTTGTCGATTATTCGAAATTACGAGGCGATGCTTCTTTTGCCTGGGCAGGTTTTATCGAGAGATTTCTTAATCTCGTTGCCGCGAATTTACCCCGGCAAAAAGAGAGCATCGGGGTCGATCGACTTCCTTTCGTTTTACGAGGGACGGTGAAAAAATAAAAAGAGAAAAAGAGAAAAACACGGGCTAGTATCAGGAATGCATGGAGGAATCCCTATTGATCGGGTGTTTACCGGATGGGGAAAAAATCCACGGCGCAAAGAAGCGTCTCGCTGTTTCGTCGAAATAAAGGCACTTAATAAAGCGGGTCGGTATGTCGCGGACAAAAAGTATCAACGAACCGGACAACCTCAGGAATGTTTGTTATTATCGAACGACACGAGGTCGGTGTACTCTGAACGGTTATTTTCCACCTAAGTAAAATGAATACTTGAAGGAAATATCGAAGCTTGCATCTGGTTATTGGCTAGAAATATTCGATGCGCTCTCGATGCTTCATGGTGCGAATCAACTCTCGTAGGAATTATCAACGGAACATCGTTTCACAGAATGAGACACGGATAGTTTGATCAACAATCTTGAGTAATTTCGCATATTAATGACTAACGTGCGATTAATTCAGTCGAGGCAATGTAGTTCGTGAAGTGTGTCAAACACTTGTACCATCTTTGGCAAACGAATTTATATAGAAGAATATCACACAATTTCGGTGGAGTAGTATCTTACACTGAACCGAAACACAGACTTACATTCGGGAAATCTAGAGATCG